CGGGGCGCGGCTGGTCAGCGCATCGGGGTGGCAGAGAGGGGACTCGTCGGGGCGCGGCTGGTCAGCGCATCGGGGTGGCAGAGAGGGGACTCGTCCGGGCGCGGCTGGTCAGCGCATCCGGCTGGTGGGCAGCTGTGGTGGCCGGGGTCTTCCTCTCCCGACGGTGTCTGCACCCGGCTGCGGTGCTCGCAGCTGCCCTCTGTGCTTCCCTCGGGCGCCCTGCCAGCTGCAGCCACCCGGTACAGGAACCGCGGGAGCCGAGGTGTGGCCAGGCGCTGTGCTCAGGGTGCCCGGAAGACCCTAGGGCAGGAGCCGGACGCCCTCTGGCTCCTGTTAGGTTCCGACCGCAGACGTCTGGCTCTAGTTTCCCAGGTGGTCGGTGAGCCCCGGCCCCTAGGACACTGGCCACGCCATCTGGCCGTGGCGGGTCAGGCGCCTGGTCTGTGTGAGCGAACGGCCGTGTCTGCGGTCACCGGAGGATGAGGGGTCCCTGCTGTGCAGTGGGATGGACCTAAGCTAGGGCGCGGTCAGCCTGAGGGGTGGACAGCGGCCTGGCGGTTGCTGCCCTTGAGGGAGTGAGCCAGAGGGGGCGCTTTATGCGGCCGGCTGGGTAGGTGTCACACAAGGGGTCAGGCTTCCTTCCGGGGCGTCTGGGCCTGCAGCCCCCCGTCTGTCTCCTCAGCAGCTTCCGAGAGCTTGTGACAGTGGCTCGGGCTAGCGGGTGGGCAGGTTAGTGCAGCAGGGACCAGACAGGACAGTGCTTTACCAAAGTGCGTCCAGGGCCTCCCTGGGGCGTCCCCTCTCCCCCCTCTGGCTGCACCCCAGCTTTTGGATGCATAAATAGACGAAAAACAAGTCTTTGAACAATAAAGCGCGTGTGGCCTGGCGTGTTGGCCGCGCCCTGTGGGAGGGGGCGGGGGGCGCGGACATCCCACGGGCCCAGCCCTGATGGACCTTCCCCGATTTTTCAGGGTCAGCCTCTCACCTCTTCCTGCCGTGAGCTGCAGACTGTCTGTGTGACCGGTGGAAACCCCACGGCGCTCTGCGGCCCTTGAGGACGGCTGTGAGCCCGCCGGGGACGGACCCTCCCGCCCTGTGGGGTGCCGTCGCCTGTGAGGTTTTTATTCGCTTTGACGTTTCTTGCCTTTTGATGTGCGGGGGGCTGTTGTGTGGTGACAGCGCCCTTGGAGGTGCTGGGGGCCCCGAGAGTGGCGGGCCGGGGCATCCCGGCGCGTGGTCACCCTCTCGTCCATGGGCCCAGCGGG